TGCCTTTTTATTTAATTGTTTTTACTCATTAATTATATATAATATTTCATATGCAAATGCTTTTATTTTGCTTTTCTATTTTTCTTCTTGCCTTCTACCTTCTCTCTCTCTCATAGGGAAACCTGTGTATGTCAGCTGGTATTAAAACTCCAAAAAGATTTGAGCTGATGGTATCGAATACAACCTTTGTTAATTTTGATCTTACCACCTGTGTGGCCATCCGGACCTGTTCAGGCTGTTCTCGAGGACAGGGTATGTTGTTTGAACAGACAGGAATTAAGGGGGTATGCACTCAAATCTGAAAATAGTGGCAAAGCTTTTACAATGTATTATTTCTTCCATTTAGAAGATTGATTCAGTACAAACTACTTCTTGCATCTCCAAATAGAAGATCAAAGGGTAATTAAGTGCTTAGATGTGAATTGTCTAGTACCTCACTCTTACTCACCTTGATACCTATCATATTCTGCCAGTATGGAGTAATGTCTCTGTTAGGCTCCAAGCTTTATAAAGGCAGGAATACTTGATCAAGTTCAGATCATTGCCTTTTGGCTAGAGAACCTGTGCCTAGTGGGCAGTTAATTGATTAAATAAATAAAAGGCGTAGGAAAGATGAGCATATGTAGTTAACCTCAGAGAAACAACCATTCCTGAAAGATCTAGAAGTTGAGGTACTTAAAGGCTTGTAACAGCTCAATGACCTTATATGCAAAAAAAGAATGCTACAAACTCCTGCTCTTTCCTTAATGACATCTCAGAGGGGGTGAGAAATACTTTGGAGGACTCCTGTCCAACGTGAAAAACAGCAGAAAGCAATCTAGTTGATTTGATCATTGTAAATAGCAAAACCAAGTCATTCAAGTAAATATGCTCTTGTGGTTTGAATCACCAATTTAGATAATTGTTTGTTTTTTTAATTAAATGAATAATCAGCAAGTCTCCACTTTGCTTTTCCCCCCTCCCTTTCTATGTGGTAAAGCCAAAGATTGGTATTATTTGAGTGGTATCGGTTTTATGATTATGGAAATAATAAGAATAACAAATGTTTTATGACAAATATTTAAAACCACAATTTCTTAGTTCTTTAGTGGCTTCACTGTTTTGTATCATAATCAAGACACTGGAAAAAAATTTCTACAGTATTAATGAACACCAATCCTTTGTTACTAAATTACCTTGGCTAAGGTATATTTTTTTCATCTGTTTAATAGAAACTATCTATCCCAGTACCTGCTTAAGGAATTGAGGTAAGGAAGATGGAAAACTAGGCCTTTGAATCAGCCTGGTTCGGTCATGGAGGATAAAAAGATTCTGGGACTGAACTGAATGACATAGTCTGTTACATGTTACCAGAAAAGTTGCAAGTTCAAATCTACCAGCTCTTCTGAGAGTGAAAGATGATACAATCTACTCCCTTAAAGATATATAGACCTTCAGTGGAAGATCACCATGAGTCAGGGTCAGCTTGACAGCGACAATGGGTTTGGCTTTAGCTTGGGATAAAAAATGCTACCTGAAACAACAGCAACTAATTTATGAGTCAAAACCTGCTGAAAACATAATCACCCTCTTTGTAAAAAGGGGAAGTATTTTCATTGTCTAGCAACCAAATCCCTCGACTGGTTGTGTGGAAAGTTCAAAGATGGCACCAGCCCCAATGTATGTTGTTCTCTACAGTCTGGGCAATAACCAGGTTCTTGAAAGGATATACTATATCTCTTCTGAGTTTCCCATTGCAGAGCTTTGACCTGTATGTGGTTCTTATCATTCAGATTAGTACTCAGGATCACCCAAATTTTAAATATTTAAGTTTGATCTAGTTTAACTTCCTAGATAAATTTGAAATAGTTCAAGGCCCTGGAAAATGATTTGGAGCTCCTGTTTGCTATGAGCTGTTTACCTACACAGAAAAGAACTATCTAAAGCATCCAATAGAGTGTATGAAGTATAGGGATAGAAGACAAAGCAAAGTCTATGAAGGGACTGAAGATGGAGGTATGATTTCCTTGACATGACTCTCAAGCAGTTTCAAAAGGTGAATAGAATTTTGCCAGAGGGAAGAGATGGAGAATGGTGTCTATGTATTAGGAATAGCATATGGGCACATACTCATACTCAAAAGGAAAAAGAGATGCACAATGTAGAATCATGAAATTTTTAAAAATGTGATTTAATTTACTCCATGTATTCTGTTGGACTACAGAATACATATCTCAATTTATTTGTATCATATTTTGGAGGCTATTGTTGTATACCAGGACCCATAGTTGGCCCTTCAGTGTGTTTTCAGAGGCAATAAGATGTATGGAAAGAGATTGCCTCTCTTTTTACCTTAGAGCAGCTAGTGGATTCAAACAGTCTATTTTGGGGTTGACAGTGAAATTCCTTACCATTAAACCACCAGAGCTCTGTTGTTAAGGTTTTGAACTTAATTTTCAAAGCAATATTCAATTTCTTGGAAAATTAAGCAGGAAACACAAAAGATTTCCCAAATGGTGCCTCTCTCTAAATTTCTTCTGGTATGTTGACATTTTGCTTTGTATGGTGCATTTGTTATGAATTGGGAACTAATCTTTATATGTGATTAATAAATGAGTGAATTTAGTAGGAACTCTGCTGACACTTTGGTGAAGCCACTCAGTTGCTGACCAAAACACTACCACTTTGAACCACCATCTGCTCCATTGGAGAAGGTGACACTTCCTTAAAGTCTTACGGCTCTGAAATCCCTTGTGTGATTGATGATCCCTGTCATCAATCACTGTGTTACAATCCACTCAAAGGCAGTGCATTTTATCAATAAAGTCCATATTTACATTAGACTTCCTTCTTCTGCTGTTTAGTTAGCTAAGTGCTTAACTTTTACACCACAAGGGCTCCTTATAGATCACGCTTCTAGTGTTTAGTAATTAGTAAATTAATATTCTTAGTTTTCTTTTTCCACCAGACTAGAGTTTCTCATTCTCATTACTGTTGATATTTAGGTCTAGATAATCATTTTGGCTGTTGTTGTGAGTCCGTCTTATATATGTGTTGTAGCATTCTTGGCTTCTACCAATGAGGTGCCAATAGCATGCCCTTCCCCCTTCCACTTCCGGTTGTGATGGCTCCAAACATCTGGAAATGGTTTAAAATGTCCCTTGGGCAGCAAACCCACTCCTCAGTTCCCAAGCTACAGACAGCATGAAGACAGTGTCAGGGCTAGTCTTTCTATCCTCTGTATAAGGAGCACCTACCATGAACTCTGCAAATAGTAAACACTTTTCCCCTTTAAATAACAATCAAGAAATATATGTGTGTATATACAAGCTCTGATGACCTAGTGGCAAGAAGCTGTGCTGCAATCCCAGAGGCACTTGGTTCGAGGCTACTAACTGCTCCACCGAAGAAGGATGGGACAGGCAATCTCCTTCCAAGCAATTAACCGCTTCTGAAAACCTACTGGAGCATCAGTTCCGACTCTGTTGTACACAACATAGATAGATGATAGATGATAGATAGATAGATAGATGATAGATAGACAGATAGATGATAGAGATATAAAAAGAGATAAGCAATTTTGAATGTTGAGAGGACTCCAATGAGCTTACTTGCCATTTGTAACTTAACAATCTTTCTGTCTTCCAATTCATAGGTGGATTTACTGTGAAAGCTAAACAGTTGAAGTTTCCCAACTCTCCAAACTTGGTAGCATTTCCATTTCCTCATGCAGCAATCGTGGAAGACTTGGACGGTTCTCTGTCTGGGAGAAATAGAAGTAAAATTCTTGCCACTATGGAAACTCTTCCAGTTTCTTGTCTGGCCAATGCAAGCTTCAGCCAGATGGTCCATGGCAGTGTCTGTGGGGAAGATGTTCTTTTTCATCGGATGTCTATTGGCTTGTAAGCTGAATTAGCACTGCTTTTTAGCTTATAAATATGCATGCATATATGATTATGAGTGTTGAGACTTGTAGATAGGAAATTATTTTCTCAGTTCTAGATTTGAGCTATTTATTTGCATGAAAGTGATAAGGGCATATACTCTGACAGCTGTCACACTGTAAGTTCTCAGAGCAGTGATCTCCCATTGACATTTTGAACTCATAATTTCCTCTTGAATAGACTTGCAGCCAACAGAGTATTTTGAAACATATTTTTAAGTTAAAAGTATTATTAAAAAATTCCAATAATGTCCATCCTCATTTATATATGTGTAATCTCCTCAAGCTCTTTTAAAGTGTTCAATATACTCTAGGAAAGCAATTGTCTATGCCTCCTATTACTTGCAAAGTTGCTTCACTCCAGTTCATTGTCCTTGTTAATTTCATGAACTATTGGATCCGTACAATACATTTCCTATTAATATTGAAGCAAAGACTCCTTGGTTATGCTACTCAAGCTACCATTAAGTCAGCAGCTAGGCTGTTTATAATGTGTAATAGGATTGCTTCTGCCCTCTTTAATTTCCAGGTAATGATTGCTGAGTGTCTAGGATTCGGTCTTTTACCTATTTCAAATGCATTGTATATATTTAGCCATCCTTATTTTCTCCTTTAAGTATCCTGACTTCATGAATATTAAACTAAGTCATTCCACCAAGGCCACATTGGCGTCTTCTTTGAACAGGTGAACTCCAGAGAATGAGAGTCGATGTGGTTAGGATTACACCAGCTGCATCTTGAATGCATGAGGCTCAGAATCTTGACACTTTGTGTCTGAAATCTTAGCAATATACTGCTAGCTTGGACAAGTCTAAACATTATCCACTTTTGCTTTCTACACTGTTTATTAAGCTATCTAATGTTAATAGGCCCAATTCTAATATGTAAAATCCCAATTCTAATGAGTAAGATCAAAATATGAAGAGGAGTTATAGTTTTATTTCTAACCATTTTCATTGTGCAAAGCCTGAATTCTTTATTCTCTGAGGGACAACCTAGTCTTCTATGATTATTCTGGGGATTTTTATCAATTATGTTTTCTACAGGTGTTTTGAGATGTATAAAGTTTGTGTTTTATTTCTTATATACATCTTAAAAATGAGGAAAATAAAATAGACCCATGTCATTCAAAGACATATAATAGGTTTCTATGGTATTCAGTTCCATGTGCTATTCTTGATTCTCTTTTTCCATCCTTTTCATTGAGATCTCCTTAAGGAGCTCAAGTGGCCTAGTGGGTAAGGAGTTGTGCTGTCAATCAAAAGGCAGGTAGTTCGAATCCATCAGCTGTTTTGAGGGAGGAAGATGAGCAGTCTCTTCTCATAGAATTTACAGCTTCTGAAATCCTGCTAGAGGGACAGCTGTGAGTAGGTTCCAACTTGAGAGTGATGAGGTGAGGGGTATGAGTCTGTTTGTTGGTGGTGGTGTAGTCTAGATGGTTCTGTTCTTCAGGACAAGACACTAAACACTTATTATGGCAGCTCCTGAGTGATCCCAGCACTTCAGGGACTGACAACTTCAATAAGATAGCAGTCTTCATGCCATATTCTGTAAAGATTTAAAACGTGTGAGCAGTTGGTGGTTCCAACACTCCCAGCAGTGCCTTAGAGTAAAGATATGGCAATCTACATCTGAAAGTTCACAGCTATGGAGACCGTTTGGAGGACATGGGATCACCATGAATCAAAATGAACCTGATGGCAACTGGTTTGGTGTTTGGCTTTAGTGGAATGAACAACTTGTTCATTTACCCAAGACTTTGAGAATTAAAATCCTATCTCGTAGAAATTTCCTCTTTAATGTCAGGAAAATATTGAGAGTAGATTTCCTTTAAAAATCTTCAGGCTGACCCAAAATCTGTGAACAAATACCCAACTGCCCTCAACCAGCCCTGTAGGAAACTCACCATGTCTCCAACTGAACATCTTTTGGCTTTACAGACTTTATTTTTGTGATAACACAATTGGATTACCCAGTCTCTAAGACCTTGGACCATGCAGCATGAGTATCGTCTCGGAGCTTGTTAAAAATGCAGAATCTCAGGCCCCACCCTAGACCCCCCCCTCCAAGTCAGGATCCCCAGGGGATTCATGTTTGAGTTTGCAGTACACTACTCGGCACAACTTCTAACTTTGTCTATGATTCTATCTCTAGCTATTTGTGCTCAGTGACTTGATCTTTGTCCCAAAGCATTATAACCTCATTAGGAACATGTCAGAGCTAATGAGCAATTTGAATTCCGCGTAGATACAAACTTTGCTGCATTTCATGGGAAAAAAGGATTAATTTGTTGTGCTATTTACCCTAGGGCAAACACCCTAAGAATTGATTTACCAAGCTCTCACATTCATGATCTTTTGGGGTTGGATGTTGATGGAGATCTGATGTGGCATAAGCACCCTGCTGTCTTCACTTTTAATGATTACCCCCCCTCCCTCAGCAAAGGTCCCAGGAGAAGGCAGGAGAGTAAGGACATACATAGCTACATAAGCAGGGCAGCCCCATGGCAAGGGGCTACTAAAACCCTAGCCCTTGCGATGTGATTTCTCCATTGGTAGGCATGTCTCTGGTCTTTTTCACTATTAGTTCTGAGAGTGTCATTGGTGACCTTATGCTATTCTCTCTTGCTAGATCTCACATCACTCTGACAGATGTTGACATTTGTGGCGCTTCTCATTTGATAGTTTTCTATGAGGGCTTTCTCCTTCTTTGTCTCTTGGTCACATTGTCAGGAAGAGCTAATCCTTGGAAAAAGCCATCATGATGGGAAAAGTAAAAAGTCAATGAGAAAGAGGAAGACCTTTAATGAAATGGATTGATGCGGTGACTGCAACCATGGGCTTGATCCTGGTGGAGATTGTGAGGGTGGCATAGCGTAGAGCAGGCTTTCAATGTTGCTCACAGGGTTGCTATGAGTTGTGCTTTGCTCAGTAGCACCTAACAATAACCTGAGGGCTTCCGTGGTTTCATGGTCGAATTCTTGCCTGCTGTACATGGACCATAAAGAAAGCCCTGGTGATCTACCTCTGCAACTTAGCCAGTGAAAACCTTAAAGCTAACAATGATCTGATTGCATTGTGCATGGGGTTGCCCTGAGGCCGGAGACAACATACTGACAGGCAGTACCAGCAGTGAAACAACCATAGGAGCTGGGTTGGCACGGCCAGATATACACTTGAAGACAATCATAATATATAAAATTGAGTAAAAGAAAAACTCTTACCTTCTCAGTAAGCCATTTCGTTGTTGAAATGATGATGTGGTTGGTCTGTACAAGTACAGTTTAAAATATTATCTCTCACACAGGAGTGGAAAGTGTGCCTTCTTATTTAAACTTTAGAAAGCTTAATTTTTTTTCATCGGTTTGGTTTTAAATAAATTTTTTATTTTATACTGGTTTACTTTACAAAGTTCATATACATTGCCTTTTGCACCGGATCTTTTCCATTTCCTTTACTCACCCCTCATTCTACCCATTACTTGTGAGAACCATTTTAAAGCTGTTTTAAATTATATTACTTCCTCAGCTTGGTTTCTACCAACTTTTTTCTCCTTGATGATGCATAGTCAATGTTAACATTACCAATGTAAGTCAGAACTTCAGTTCAGCGACCCTTTTCTTTGTTGAGTTGTTGTTAGGTACAACTTGGTCAACCACAGCTCACCTTAACCCTATGAACAACAGGTCTGAACTTTGAACTACCCTGTGCCTCATCATTTCTGATATGTTTGAGCCCATTGCTATAGTTATTGTGTTAGTTCATATTGTTGGAAGTCTTCCTCTCTTTCTCTGAACCTCTCTCTACCTTTCTACACATATTATTTTTGCAAGAACAGGTACCTCCTGATAACATACCCAAAGTAGCAAAGTAGCCAAGTTTGACGGTCCTCAACTCTTAGGAGAAACCTGGTTGCATTTCCTTCAAGACAGACTTGTTTGTTCTTGTGGTGGTCTATGGGGTATTCAACCCTCTTTCTTCAGCAACCCTTGTTCCAGATTGTTATCATACGTATAAAGCCTAGTTATTGCTTTCGAACAGTTCTTCCCCTCACCTGTTCCAGTGCACTGTTCATTATTTATTCACTCTTTTCTTATTCTCTCTCCATCATCCTCAGTCTGTCCTATTTTATAACAGCAATGTTATGCCGTATTTTTTCTTTAGTGACTGAGATATTTCACTCAGCATAATGTTCTCCATTCTCCCCCCATGTTGTGTAATGTTTCATGAGTTCATTGTTTTGCAGTTCTTTCTGCTTCAGAAATGGTGTGTTCTTCTCTTTTGATTTTCTAACTTCAACTCTATGTGTATTTTGTTATAATACTTTGTTTTCACTTCCTGACCTGTCTTTGAAATCTTTGGCTTATCTCTTTTACATCAGCATTTATTCCCAGGGTTTTGTCTTTTCTAAATTCTAATGGAAATTAAAAGACGTATTGTCATGGGAAAGTCTGCTGTTAGGGACCTCTCTAAAGTACTCAAGAGCAACTGTGTGTCTCTGGAGATAAAAGTGTATTTGGTACAGGCCATGGTCTTTGCAATCACTTGTTATGCATCAGAGAGCTGGACAATGACCAAGGAGGATAGAAGGAGAATTGATGCTTTTGAGCTTTGGTGTGGAGAAGAGTGCTGAAGGTGTCATGGACTGCTAAGAGAACAAACAGATTCATCCTGGAGGAGGTTAAACCGGGCTGCTCCTTGGAGGCAAGGATTCTGAGGCTTCGTCTGACATACTTTGGTCATGTTATAAGGAGAGACCAGTCCTTGGAGAGGGACATCATGCTTGGGAGGGTAGAGGACAGGCGCAGGAGGGGAAGGCTCTCTAGGAGATGGATTGATTCGGTGACTGGGGCAATCGGGATGAGTGTGTAGGAGGCAATGAGATTGGCACAGGACAGAGCAGAGTTTAGGGCTGTTGTACATAGGGTCGCTATGAGTCACAAGTGACTCGACGGCACGT